CGTCGCTCGCGGGAGGCCGGGGAGCGGCAGGGGCATGTGGATACTGGCTCTCTCCTTGTTCCAGAGCTTCGCGAATGGTGAGCCTTTCGGTTTGTGATGAATTTCATTCCTTATCATTGACCCGGGGGGCGGGGGATGGCATTGGATGCATGGGTAAAGTCTTCTTTCTTTTTCCTCTTCATCTGTGTTTAAATTTTCGTGCTTTTATTTATTTTTTAAATATTATATTTGTTTTTTCGGGGAGGAGAGGTGGCAATGGAGAGGCCGGGGAGAAATTGCTCTGTAATCATTGGAAGGCGCTTACCTAGCCAAGTGACAGCTCAGAGCCTAACTCCAATACTAGAGAGCTGCCTCATTCAGAATAAACCAGGTCTGGTGACAGAAGGAGAGACAGGAAGATCGCCACTTTGAATATTACAACCTGGGAAAGGGATATGACATTCCAAGTGCACGCAGGTGGAGAGGTCAATGAGGAACATTTCCCTTCAGATTCAGTGCTTTTTGAGATTTTTCAAACACGTAATTTCATGCTAGTACAATGTATCTCCAGCACCAAGGAGGGCTTTAAGAAAGATCTGTCCTTCTGTGCACCCCGTGCTGCTTCATGCTCCTCACAGTCGTTTATGTAAAAATATGCACTGATAAGCATTACATCATCTGAAATGTTGACAAATTAAAAAAAAAAAGAAACACCTGTATAGTAGTAAAAATGAAATCAGTGAATATTGTAAATAGCATTTCTTTCCTCATGCCCAGCCAATATTATATTTTGAAATGATTTCTTCCTGGGTATTTAGAAAGCTATTGCTCTTGACTGAGTCAGACCCAATTAGTAAGTGTGACTGCACCTTAGGCTGTCTGTCACCGCGTAAATATGAACTTACATGTATGAATGGCTTCCTCTCTTGTGGGAACCAGAGGAAATTGTCATCATTTGACATCGCCTGGGAGTAGCTACAGCTTAAATTCCCATTTCAAATTTTGAAACACACATCTGCATAAAATGTATAACCTGCTGACAGTTGAAATTAAACCATTAAGCAGAATCCCCTAGCCAGAAGAGAGGGGAGAGAGAGAGAAAGAGAGAGAGAGGAGGGAGGGAGGAAGGGAGAGAGAGAGAGAGAGAGAGGGAGGGAAAAGAAGAAGAGAAGGTAAAGGAAGAGAAGAGAGGAAATCTGGCCCTTGTGAGAAAATACGAGAAGCAAAGGGGAGGCTCTGAGATTTTCCTGGAAGATACACAGGGAAGCTCTGCGTGTTGGCTGCAAGGCAGTGCATTTTCTTTACCTACCTAGACAGTACCTAAAGAATCAACATACCAACAGGCCAGAAGAAATGCATGAACATTGTCAATTTTTTTTAAAAAATGGTGACTACGAAAAGGTGGAGTTGAAAGAAGGTGGTATCAAAATGAACGTGAAGATGATACTTTCTCTCCAATATAACCTAAAGCAAAGTGTTTGAAACTTTCATTTTGAGATTTCCTAGCAGGAAAGAATTGCAACAAGTTCTGACAAGACACCCATCTTTCCCAGAGGGCACTGTACCTGTCCTGTGTCCTCCTGGGAATTTCCCTTCGGGGACAGATCTGCTTAGGGAACATGTGGAGATGTGTTGGGGAAGTCAGCCCTTTCTGCTCTTCCGTTAATGCAACCTGCTAAGAAATGTACAGATGCCTACAGAGGTGTTCCAAAGACACAGAGCCTTGACAGCCTGTTTCACCTGTCAGGGAGGACCTTTCTGAACTCCTTGGAAAGGCCTGGGTTATAAGATGAAACAAAATTTGCACCCCACTGGGAAGTGTGTGTTTCAGGATGACGAAAGAGGCTGTGCTGGTTGTCATCAGCCAGTATTTATTTACAGTGTAAGCATTTTGTATGACAAAATGGTATGGAAGAATTTATGATACTGATACAGAGTGTTAGCCTCTGATACACAGATGCTGTATATGTGTGTGACTTTTTTCTGAATTAGCATTTCATAACTAAAATAAACAATCATAGAAATAATTATATATGGTAATACAATTATAGAAAACCTCAAATATTCTTCAATATGAAAAATACATGCAAAAATTATGTAGGTACTCATATAGTGAGTTCTGTATTATTTCAAGACTTTTAAAATCAACTGATAATCACCATTATTATTACTGTAATAAATATAGGTAGATGCCACACTATTAGACATAAACAGCAAACACAAATGAATATTTTACATTACTGTATTATGTATTCTGATCCAATCTAGCAGAACGCTATGGAACTATCTTGTATAAAAATGCCCCTCTCTTTATATGATCAAGGATGAAAAAATAAAAAGCCTGACTGTAAAGCTTTAGGATCTTTGAAGGGGGAGGGGAAATCAGCTTTAAACAGTTTTCTAAGGCATGGTGTTCATTACATACTGGGGAAAGGATCATAAAATATATAGACATGTTGAAGTAAGAGTCCAGTTTGGAACTATGCCTGTTCGTAAGGCCATATTTCAAAAATATAAGAGTGAATGCTTTCTACCTATCTGAATTAAATTTTAAAAAATGGAGAAGTATTTTTGTCAACAACTGTCATATTTTGTTATACCTCAATTTTGAAAAATTTCTGAATGTGTGTGGTAAAAGATTGATGAATTCTAATACCTAAACTGATTATTGCTAGGCCTCAGGCATCAAAATGCCTGACATGGTAACTTTTTGTTTTCATTTGTAAAAGATTATGCAGTTTAATATTTGGGACTGTTAGAAAAAGCCCACAGTACATCTGCATTTTAACAGTAGATGACAACATTTTTCTTATTGATGTGTCGGAAGTACAGTTATTTCTTAGTAAAAGTATGATTGCTAGACAGGCTGCAGACAGTATTTTTGGAAGAAAAAAAAAAAAGAAGAAGTCATTGACCAGGCCTTTAATGGGTTAAACCCTTAAATGAATGACCTCACCTGATAAGGTGCAGTAATCGTGTTTTAAAGCAATTTGTTCTGCAATGTTCTGGAAATACACGCGAGCTTCTGTTACAGTGCAAGACGCTAAGGTACACGTATGTGCAGACACTCACCCACACACGTCCCTCAGTGTCTTCTCAGCAAAGCTTCCTACTGCATTGTGTTTCATCACCATTTCTGCTGGTTTTAACCCCAGAGCACATTCTAGTTTAAAATTATTGCTAAAAGCAGAGCCGGGCCTTCAGACAAGCAGAATGATAAAGAATCAGATTTATTATATATAATATATTTTTGCTAGTATCCTGGCATCTCTGTTTTTACACACATACACACACACACACACACACACAGACTCACACACATGCATTCCTGACATCATCTTTTCCTGAGCCGTGGGATTTTGAGCTCTACTGCATCCGCTTTCATGGGACCTGAGCATCGTGGAGATTAGAGAGGGTGGGGTGATGGGAGTAAGAAGGTGCTCATTAAAGAGAAGGTGAGTATGCAGCACCTTTGAGCTTCATCCATTCACTTGATAGGAAATTACAGAGCACACACTTGCTATTTTATTTAATTAGAAGCAGACCTCTGTAAATACAAATGCACCTTAAGGACTTTGAAGGTGATTTTTATTTAATTCACATAAATGTGTGTAAGGAAAAAATGTTATCAGGTGAACAATTTCAGGGCTGCCTCCCCTTCCCTTTCTACCCCATCTTTATTAAGCAGATTAAAAATCTATCCATAATCTCAGGGTTTACCTAAAATTCCTAGGCCTTTTAACTTAAGCTGCATGCCCCTCCAAGATGCCCTCTGTAGGAAAACAAAACGCCACGCAGACCTTTAATAAATGCCAGTGGATCCTTTTCCACTTTTTGACTCTCTCCTTTGTCACTTTGGTGTGACCATGGTTTGCTGCCTCAGGGGATCAGTGAGTCATGGGGGCTGAACCCACGCAATAAGGCATTTTGGTAGGAGAACTAATTTTGACTAAAATATTTGCCAATTTTAATCCCCAATTCCTGGACCTCCAGGTAGCTGGCAAGGTATTTTATCTTAGATGTGTCTGGGGTAAGGGGCATGGAGTATTTTGACAAGAGACTCAATTCAATGCGTATTAAAACTTGATTGAGAGAGAGAGAGAAAGAGAGGGAGGAGGTCACTTTATAAAGAAAGACCTGTGAACACTAGATTGGAAATTTATGTTTGCAAAAGAAAATGATGGGTTTCTCAAGTGGGTGCATTTACAAAATCTGTGGCATCCAGGTTTCATAAAATGAGCTGAATTCTACGGGCAAGATTATGAATGTGACTCATAAATAATTACTAGGTAGTGAAAAAGAATGTATTTTGCATTAGGCATTGCATTCCATAGTATTTCAGAAACGAGCACTTCGATTTCCCTGGTTTCCATGCTTGGCCCACCTCACCAGAGCAGGGCAGGCACCCAGGGGTGTGCCCACACAAACGAGCACGTCTGGGCATTTCTTGGCTGCTGCACTGTAGTGCACGCTGGGCCTTGGTGCCCGCACCCTCGGCCTGGGAGATAGGGAGGTGGTGCTACCTGCATGCCGATTGTGTCCCCGCCATAGGACACTAGTGGGCGGCAAACCTCACAAGACTCTTGCAGCCAGCCTTCAGCAGAGCCAGCAAACCCAGCAGCCGCCGAGGGAGGACTGCTCCATGCAGATGGTCAGGGGCTTTCTTCTGAAGACGCCATCCCACGCTGTCTCAAGTTCAGTGCGCCCAAACTCGCGTGTCGTAGAGTTCGTCTAACAGGAACCGTGCAAAGGCAACCGCAGGTCAGGCGGAGTCCGGCAGCCTTTGTTTTCAACTGTACAGCGGAGGAACATGTTCACAGCAATATCTAGAAACCCAGAAGGTGCCCAGAAAGGAAACAGAGGTGTTGCAGCGGGTAGCGGGCCCGCAGAAGGGTGCATTTGCACCCGCTTTCCAAAGCCGCAAGGGAGCCCCGGTGTGGCGCGCGCCTCGGAGGTGGCAGCTCCGGGAGCAGCTCTGCGCCTGATTGGCTGACCTTCCAATGTCATTCCAGGAGCCGCCGCTTCTCCTGCTGATGGTGACAGGGGTGATGCTGACGTGCCCGCTCCTCTGCAGTCCATCAATCTCCGCAGGCAAGGC